CGCGCTTGGCGACATCCGAATCCAAGTGAGAAACCTCTGCACGCTTGGCGACATCGTCCTCTAGATGCGCAACCTCGGCGCGCTTGGCAACGTCTTCGTCTAGATGCGCAACCTCGGCGCGCTTCGCCACGTCGTCTTCGAGATGCGCAACCTCAGCACGCTTAGCAACGTCTTCGTCTAGATGCGCAACCTCGGCGCGCTTAGCAACGTCTTCGTCTAGATGCGCAATTTCGGCGCGCTTGGCCACATCCTCGTCCAAGTGGGCGACCTCTGCGCGCTTCGCAGCACGTCCTTCAAGGTCATTAATAGGAGCAGCCCAGATCTGCGCACAGGCCAGGATGACCATGGTGGCAGATGATACGGTGAATGACAACTTCATCTTGGCGAGTGAGGTTCGGAAAGTATCGGGAAGGTTTGTTTGGTTGTTCTTTGGAGCTTTGAAACGATATTGCGATTTTGTGCAGTTTGAGTGCGAGATTATTTGGTAGTTGAGAATCGGGTCGGAATATATGTATCTATCGTGCCTTCGAAAGAGATCGTACCGTGGGAGCAATGTATGATTCGTTGCTTACCTCTTGGTATGATGAATTCGCTAGTATAATCGACAGCCGAGCGCTGCCTTGGTCCTCTAACCCCACACACCCTGATTATAGGAATGCCGCATATCAAGGTCATACTCACTAGGTTAGGTCACTTGCTAGGCGTCGTGCAGCGTACCCTTGCTGCTTGCTCTACAACCACGCCCACGCAAGCACTCTGGCGACATCTGGTCAGCATGCAGATCGGGTCGACAGTGTCCATGCGTATTAATTACGCAGCGGATATTTGCAAAGAGCAAGCTTACGATGCATGCTGAACAGTAGCTTTTGCCACAACATAATCATGTCGCTCAACGTAACCTACGTTCTGTAAGGGACCATTGCTATGTGGCCAAATTGCGACTTGCCTGAAGACGAAGACACAACACTTACGAGCTGTTGCCGTCTGGGCTAATCGTCTATGTTCTGATCTAACCTAGTGAACTAGCCATTGTGCACACAATAGTTGTTTTTTGTTGGTATTTCGTTCGAGTAGTCTCTGTTTCTCATGATCACAGTGACTTTAGCATTCCTCATTTCACTTGAACAGAATGACGCAAGAACATGTCTACAGTCCTTTGAATGAGGATTCGGATGCCCCTGAGAAGGAATCTTCCGAATCTATCTGGCAGAAAATCGTACCTGATAAAACCATTGTTCACAAGTGGCCCCTTGCTTTTGCTCTTTTCAACTTGATCCTTATTCTCCTATGGACTTTGATCCATTTCGATGTCTTTTCAGTGGAAAAACAGAATGACTCGCAGTTAGCTATCCTTGAAAATGGCATCTATTCTGGTCGTTACGACACTGCACTTGATCAGTTCCATTTTCTGGGCATGCCGTATGCGCTTCCACCTCTTGGGCACCTCAGATTTAGAATCCCGCAACCTTTCGATCAGTCTTGGGAGGGTGTGCGCAGTGCGACAGAATTCGGTCCAATGTGCACAGGTTACAGGGTAAGTGTGAAGGTCCGCTATGACTTTATCGGCGATTATTGACTTTGTGAACATAGGGAAAATCGAGCTGGTATCCTCATAGCGAGGACTGTTTGACAATCAACGTGATGAAGCCTGCAAACGTCACAACACGCGAATTGCTCCCGGTAGCGGTTTTTATTTACGGCGGTGGTATACATGGGGGCGGTGCACGGGACGACCGTTATAATATGAAGATGCTTGTGGCTCATGCTACCCAGCATCAAATGCCTTTCATTGCGGTGTCCTTCAATTATCGGTCATCCGTATGGGGTTTCATCTCGAACGAACAAATGATTGGGACGAGGGGTGCAAATTTGGGCTTCCGCGACCAGCGACTCGCCCTCCATTGGGTTCAGAAGAACATCGCAGCATTCGGTGGAGACCCCAAGAAAGTCACTCTCATGGGCGCAAGTAGTGGAGCCGATGCCGTCGGTCTTCATTTGACAGCATACGGAGGCCGAGATGATGGACTATTTCGGGCTGCAATCATGCAGAGTGGCAGCTCTGTAGTTCCCTTCTCACTAAAGGGAACATCTGCGCAGGCAGCCTACGAAAGACTGGTGGCCTCCGCGAGCTGCTCTGATGCTGAAGATCCATTCGAATGCTTGAGACATCTTCCCTTCGAGGAGTTGAACCAAGCCTATGACAAAGATAATTCCAGCGAAGTCACTTTGGACATGGCTGTTCAGTCTCTTCCGGTCTTCGACGGAGACATTGTACGATCTTATGGTACCTTCAGCTTACCACGGTTCCGGTTTACCGCGGTGCCCATCATCATCGGAGTAACGTCGAATGAGGGCTATGATGACGTTGTTCCTGGATTAACGAGCTGGGAAAAATTGAGACACTATCTAGTATCTGGTAAAACCCCGAACTATAATGATCGTGTACCAGAGCATCTTCTAATAAGTCTAAAGGGTCTCTTCGAAAATATCCCAAGGGGATGGTTGAGCGGCTCCTCTCATTCTACCCTGATGACTTGAGCACTGAGCCCCTCGAGCCCCCGATACTGGGTATCGACGATTTACGTACATTCAAAAGAATCACGCAAGTTCTTGGAGATTTGTCATACAATGCTGCAAGGAGACTGCAGTGCGGAGAGTTCTCGAGAGTTGCTACGTGCTTCAGCTACGTATATGATGATTTCGAAACTCTCCGTTCCGGAAACCTCCACGAGGGCGCCAGACATGGTGCTGAGCTCGCACCTGTTTTCCAGAACTACGACGGCCGGGGCTACAGCAAATCAGAGAACATTTTCAAGGATAGGTCATCAGCCTACTTTGAAATGTCAAGGGCGATGGGTTTGATGTGGGCTGGTTTCATCACGAAATTGGACCCCAATGTTGCTTTTGATGGGACACCTTGGCCGAAATACAATATGGACAATCCCAAGAATATAGTATTCAACGAAACAGGGCCTTTCTGGACGGAGCAGGATAATGAAAGACGTGATGCAACTGATTACATTATTAGTGTTTCACAATCAGTTTTGGGGAAATAGAACATAATATAGTATTCGCTTATATAGACTAGTATAATGACGCGCAAGGGAGATTAAGACGATGTAAATTCCTCGCCCCGATCTGTGACTTGATTGGCGCCAAGATAAAATAGCTCTTGATACATGTCATGACAAAATATTATTCCCATCTAAAGAAAAAATGATAGTAATTTGGAATGTTGTTTTTATTGTTTACATCATGGATCGAAAAATTAGCATGAATCAACTCTACAAAGTGTGATACGCAGTACAGGGATGGTGGTCTTTAGTCCATTGTTGACGTAAAGCTACATTTATTTAAGCTATCGACAGAGACTGAGCTACAATGTGGCACCAAAATTCAGCTGACCTAGGCGAAGCAAGGCATGGGATCCGGTATTCAGTCTTTGCATCGCACAATCGGGATCTGAACCAACCATTAGATACCCTGCACCTCGCCCATAAATCTATCATGAAAATCATCATCTCACCTAGGCCCGACCTCAGCAAGTGAGTAAATCAGACGTCTGTTGTAATCTTTCAACCATCATCACGTCAAGCTGTCGCAGAGACTCATCCGGACTAGGACCTTGGAGAACTCCTTTGCCAGCGGTCATGGTGAGTCGCTCGGGAGCAGGCTCCTTGAGGTATGGCATCACCCTACTTCTATGTGCCGTCCTGAAGCGCTTTGAGAAGTCTCTTGTAAGTGCACGTCCTCAACAAGAAACGAGTATGATATGGGGCAGTACCTTCATGTGTTTAATGATCTTGACCAACTGGTCCCGAATCGGCCGACAATCCTCGTCATTGACCTTGGGCCAGAACGAGTGGTCCCTGAAAGCGATACAGAGCTCTCGCTGGCGTAAAGGAATATAGCAGACTAGAGCGTCTTCCTTTAGATAAGGTGGCAGCCCAAGGAATGCATCCAGAGCCTGAAAAAAGAGCACATGGTTTCCTGAGACTCCCTCATATTTGACAAAGTTGCCATTGGTAATCCTCCCAACGCCCCATCCTTGAAATCCTTGAATATAGCTCAGCCAAACTGATCGAGAGACGTGAGACTCTGAGAGCCTTTCGTAAAAGATCTTCAGCAGGTTGCGCAGAAGAGATGTAATGTTTTTGAGATGTTCTAGACATGAATCTTGGTCGTCCTCCTCGAACGAGACCACAGCGCCAATCATCTCCTTGTAAATCGGGTATCCCTTTGAATTGATGCCATATTAGATATTGTTCCGCTTGGTTCTTGATTCCCTGTTCATCGCTGCCTCTGGATGCTTTACTGGAGGGGGGCATGTCACTTACCATGATCTCGACATCGCGAAACATTCGGAAAAACGTGTCCTCGGAGTTTCTAATCACATCAGATCTGCCAATGTTGATCTTGTAGACACGTTCACCCGCGTCATCGAAATTCAGCAGGACGTTTGCCGTATTGTTACCACTATCTGCGTTAACCCCAAAATGGCGCTGTAAAAAGGGCCATGGAATTTCCAACTCGGGTGGGAAATCCACGATTTTCTCGTTCTGGGCAACTTTGACAACGGGTATGGTCGCCCACCTATCAGAGTTAATCACTGGAGACTTGGTAATAGGGCAAAACTTGTACCTATAAGCGTGGCGACAATTGGCAATAACACAGTAGAAGCCATTGATTTGGTCTCGTGGAAGAATTTCCAAATTTCCATTCTCCATTTGCTGCATTAGCTTGGTGACGTTGACAATAGTGATACGTTCTGCTAAGAGCTTCCGCATCAAAGATCTGAAGTTGTCGCAACGTTCCCGATTGACACCGTCGTCGAGTGAGGGCGTCTCGACAGATAGATGTTGAATCATTTCAAGATAAACTTGCTTATAGGGACGGAGGGCCATGGGCCAGCAGCTATGGGTAGCCACCGGAGGCCAGGCTCCCGCCCCATCTTCTGCAACAAGAGAACTGAATGCGGAAACCAGTTCATGGGACTTCTGGTACCTTGCGGGAAGAAAATTTGGTGTCGCACTGACGCTTGAAGCCCATTTTGGCCCATGCTTCGTAGCCTTTAGCTGCTTCTTGAGAAGCAGAGTCAAGGCAACCAGAAAATAAAGAAAAAGAAAGCCGTTGAGTGCCATTGGCATAAAATGGATATCAGTAAGCCGAAGCACGCCCAACCAATAATTATCCATCCAACATTCAAATTGAGTGAAATTTCCAGACAATACGGATGAGAATTGGTGTGCCATTGTGATTGCAAGTAGTCGATATGCTTCAAATTGTTTAGTTTGTTCACTTAAGAACAGGCCGATATCCGGGTCGTAGGCTATCTGGCTTCAGATGTATACTGCAAATAGCCATTGGCGAAAATTATTATTGTGCGAACTGAAAATCTTCGACACGGTGCAGAGACAGAAATAATGATGTATCTTGGCATGACACGTTATAGCACAAAATGAGATCATTATCGCTCAAGTCGTCAGATCGTAGCTACTGACGTGAGGCGAGCCGTGCCACAACACATTTCCTTTGAGTCGATAGTGAAGCACGGTCTCATGTCAGCAAATATTGATTGTTTGTATACGGGCAATGTATCTGGTACAGGAACTAATTGGTTTGGGGTGATCCTCATCCTTAGTATAGTCCGCAAAGCACCTAGCCTCAATACTCGAGTCACTGTACAGATACACTCAGCAGCAAATGCCAATTGCGGCGCTAAGTGGTGAAGCATCGCCTGTGGCTCGCGCCCAAATGCACAACCTTGTGCAGCCAGCAAGAGGATTGGAAATAACCACCCAAGGTACGACAGTAGGTGATGTTCGCGCGCCGCATATTTCTCGCCCATGAAGCCCAAAGTGGTTTAGAGTAATTACCAAAAGTAGCAATTGCATTGAAAAAAAAAAAAAAAAAAAAAAAAAGAAGGCTGTAATGCCTCGATTGAGCTCTTCTGGTGTAATCCCCCAGTGGAGAGTACAACTGCAAGCTTATCCAGGGCAGCGGCAAGCTTATGTCTCCACCCTAGCACAAAACGCTCCCTGGTTTGACGGACACGTCGAGCGAGGACCAGCATTCTATCTGCCCAAATTCCCAGCAAGCGCATGACACCACTAATTACAGCTACAGCATAGGTAAAAATGTGTGATGACTTTGAATGGTGGGGAATAGGGGCGGTTGGGGGCAACGAGGTAGAAAAGTCATATCGGCTTTGCCCATTCGAATGGCTGCGAGACTCAGCATATCGGCGAGATTTAGCTCTCAAATCCAACCATAAAGGTCTTATCTGAAGACAGCGATCTTTTGCTCATAATTCTCTGGTAAGATTGACTGGACTACGATGCACGTCACTGAAGAGATCAAACATTATAGCCTGTCGTATTAGCATTTCGTGGCATCAAGCCTCAGCGAGTCCTCGGGGTCTAACCATTTCCAAATGCCACGAAGGTATACTATGTAGCTCAGCGAGAATGTGAAAGACCCCAAGACGCATCCATAAGTCTACATATGTGCCATACAATTATAGTTAAAGTGCCCGATATCTGACGGCAACATGGAAAATTAACCACTGGGGGTCCTATTTCCTATCTCATTACCTGCTTTAGTTGGTTGGCGAAGCACAGAAATGGACAAAACCTAATGATATTGGTGTCTATCAGAATTTTCTGCACTGCCAATGTGTCAGAGTCAATGCTGTGGCTTGGTTAATCACAATGCAGTTGTGATACCCAGGAAAGGACAGGACTTAAAGACTCTTCTAAAAGTCGTATATATTAGAAGGAAACATATGAATAAGTTCGTAAGAAAAGTATCAGCGATCGTGAGACAGTCTATCTAATCAAAGGTGCTATAATCCGTGTAAGGACTCTACTATTTCTGATCTCTTTCTTTCGCTGCGGCTGTAGCCTAGCAACATATGGACTCTAAAAAGTCTCCTTGCCACTAGTTCAAGATCGTTCATGTTGATAACATTCAAGGTAATGATCGTGCTGAAGCACAACCTCCACGTCGCCATTTATCAATGAGGCATAACCCATTCTTCCTTTTTGTAGTTTGCCGGCCACACCCCATTTTTCCCTGGTGCCAATATCCCTTTAGGATCTAGTGCGTTCTTCAACTTCTCGTTCAACTTCATTTGTGCGTTATCATTGAAGCTGTATGTCCCTGCGATCTCGTCCATGAGCGCAAGGTGTGCCCTATATTCTCCCCAACCACGAGCAGCAGCTGCCGCAATCAGCGTTTTGATCAGCGTGTATGCCCGCCGCCGGCTCTCGTCGTCTTTCCGATCAAACACGATGCATACGATATGATGCATCTCTCGAAGGCCGACTAGAAAGGAGCCGATAAAGTCGAACCCATGCTCTTGCACAAGCTGACGCGTAAGTTGATACTGTGCTTGTGCCTCGTCACCAGTCACCGGCGCGATAGGTGAGAAGAACAGGTGACTTCCGTTCGGCAGCCAGTTGACCCACTCAAGCTCCGATATTGTTGGGATGCCTTGGAACGTAGTGTTGCGTGTCTGCATGGCAAGATCGTCCGGACGGTCTTCGAGGAAAAAGAACTTGGCTCCGGGGATATTCCCAAAGGAAGACTTGATAACGGACCAGAGGGAGTCTCGGACGACTTGAGGGCCATATAGTGCACCATACAAGTTCCAACGCCCAAGATTGAGCTGTTCGGCAATATTGTCCAATTCTTGATCGTCCAAAAGCTTCTCAGAGCTAGTGTATTTAGTTCGAGGACCCTGGTGGTAATTAGCACACCCACATCACTTTTCAAGGCAGAGCGAACCCACGGCTAGTGCCGCAGCCACAAGTATGCTTTCCAACTTTGGCGCGTTTTGGATTACTAGAGATATGCGTAAAGGCCGCATGATTTCGACGATTTTGTGTAGATCCTCGTTTCGTGGGAAGGTGATCAAGTAGGATTGGAAACCACCAGGGTTCATCATGAGCGATACGCCCATCTTGACCACTACTCCGAGTGACGACTGACTGAAAATTCCGTCATTGTAGGGACCAAAGCCGTAATTGAATAGTTGCCAGCTTTTGTTCCATTCCTGCTCGTGTGGTGATTTGTTCTTGTCGGCCTGGGGATTCGGTAAGGCCCCCATGCCGGTCCTGATGAGGGATCCGTCCGGCAACACAACTTCAAGCCCACAGTGCATCATCCTGAGACTGACTGTCAGTCTGCATTGAATATATTCGCAGTGAATTATTGTCTCACTCACCAGTGGTCACCGTAGGGGGTATATCCGATGCCTCGTTCCAAAGTGTTCCCTATAAGGGAGCCACCACCCAGATCTGGCACATCCATCCATACATCTTTTCGCAGGTTGTTCTTAACCAGGTAGTCGTGGAGGTCGAAATACGACACACCCGGTTCAACGAGTGCGTATGCAGCGTCGGTGTTTACCTCCAGGATCCTGTTCATGTGTCTACCTAGATCGAGGGCAACGCTGCCTCGAACACGTGGAGCAGCACCGCCATAACCGATATTTCTGCCCGTTGAGAATGGCCAGACGGGTATCTCGAATTCGTTCGCCAGTCGCATCATGTCCTGGACATCTGGCACCTGTCGCGGCATGACCACTGCGGAAGACAAGAATTCTTCTTTTTCGAGGACGTGGAACATGTCATGGGATTTCGAAGAGTCCATGTAGTCTTGCTTAGAGAATTGGCTTGGATCACTAATAACCATGATATTCATGATGCCGACCACTTGCGCAGCTCGACTGATGAATTCATGAAATTTCTCACGGTCCACGGATGGAGGTAGAACGAAGGGGTCGCGAAATTCCTCCATGATGATAGTAGCAAAGATGTATCGGTGCTAGCGATTGGAAATTTCAACTTTTATTGCTGGAAGAGTGAGGGTTGTGATGCCTCAAGACACACTGTACCTGAGGTAAAGAATGGTATGGATAAAGGCTCCGATTTCTGGCCTCAATTAGATTCAATCAGCGAAAACGTGGGCTGTAAGCCAGGTCTAATACTTGGTAGAATCCTCAATTGCTTGTATTTTGGGGCTTGACGAGTCTAGGCCTGAATGACAGACTACAGCACGTCATTCCACTTTACGCAAATGGATATTATCTACAGTGCCACAATAGTCTATAGAGACCCAGTAATCATGTCATCTCCGCATATCCTACATGGTTTATCCACTATCACTTATCTAATTATTATGCCGGGGTATAAACGGGCCTTGTATGGCGTTAATTAGGGAGCACTATAGTGCATTTCATAAAAAAATAATTAAAATAGTTTTATTCCTATCATACAAGCTAATTGTCAGGTGGTGGATCATAGATCCCACATACCAGGGTGTGCCTGAGCACACTGATCAACACCATAGTGTTCATAGAGATATACGGGGGCTCCCAGGCGTTAGCGGGGCCACCCAAATAAGCGTGCACCTCGTCACAACTGGAGGTGCAGAATATAGATCCATACATCACACAATTGACATCCATATCAGACCAGTTCAAACTCCAATTGGAAAGCACCCCCTTGATCAACACATAGAGTCAACCTTGTTAGGGCAGCGCCGGTTTGTCCTGCACGATTAGGTGGGGTTTCATTGGACTCTAACGTGCTCGTGCTCCATTGGGCGCTATATTGCGAGTATGCTTGATTACTAGTGGAATGTCACTAACCTAGGTCTGTCTGACCAAAGTAGACCTGCGAAACTGAGAGGCGTCAGCACCGCCTGCGGCCCCTCGATAACTGATGATGGATAGGAATGCATCGAAATTTAGGAAAGAAAACCATCGTTGACTATATCTTGTCTCTGTGCAGGATGGTAAGATTTGTATCAATGTCTAATGCCGCATGCAATTTCATACCTATTACCTATCATCGGAATCAGCCGTACTTGAACCACTGTCTTCAGCATGGTGATAGCTACAGTATCTCCTGCCAGCACCCGTAGCTACCATGGCACAGATTCAACCTATGTGTTACCAAACGAGTAAGTGGCTGCTTGCCGTATATAGATATTTTGGCGAGCTAAGAACCTCTCTACAAGTGCCACTGAGCAGGACCGCCTGGACGCCCAAGCTACTGCTATTGTTGCAATGATTGGCGGAGTCCCTGTGCTTGCTCCCATCGGGACGATGCAGGAGACCACAGCAAAGGCCGTCGATGTTGGGTGCGGTACTGGAGTGGCAACAATGCAGATCGCGAGTTATTTGCCCTCCGCGACGGTCTATGGGTTGGACATTTCGGAAGTCGCACAATCCAGCCAGATCATGGCCCCACCTAACGTGACTTGGGTGGTTGGCAATATTTTACATGTTGACCATGACAAGAAGGTCGGGGACGATCTTGTCACTTGCAAAATCTTCGCCCGGAGCAGTTTGGACTACATATTCGGTCGCATGCTGTTCTTGGGCATCAACGACTGGCCTCGCTATTTCTCAGTGGCAACTCGCGCCCTCGCTCCTGGTGGCTATATTGAGCACCAAGACTTGGATTGGAACTTTTATCGTGTAGGCACCAATGATTGTTTGAGTGACAATTGGGAGTGGCACAGACGAGTGGTCTCTGCTATTGAGAAATTAGGCATGTCTGCCCGAGCAGGGTCGGACGCGAGAGGCGCCATGGAGGAAGCAGGGCTGGAGGTGAAAGCCGTCAAGACATTCGAGTTCTCGTTTGTCCCATCATCTAAATCGCCGCAAAGCCAGCCGATGGGAAGATATGTCCAAGAAAAACTGGTACCTCAGTATCCTGAACTACTCAGAAAACTCCTCGAGACTGAAACTACGCCAAATGAACTGTCCAGGCTCACAAAGGAATGTCTGCGGGATATTAGCTGTGAGGAAGGGATTCATCAGAAATATACTGTCACCCTTGCTAGAAAGAAGATGTAACAATAATAATGCTATTGGACATTGTCTAGTGCTAGAAGACATTCTGAAAAGTGGTCGTGTAGTCGTATTGATCTAAAGAGCAGAATAGTGCAAATAGTGTATTTTACAACTATCCGTATTGTGTGTAGATGATGCTTATCTGTTTGGGTTGTGACGTGTTCTGGCACTTTGTCCATGCTTTTCCAGAAAAGCCTTTGTTATCAAAGAAGTGTCAATCCCGCTCAAGGCCGAGAAGCACCAGATATATCGGGCTTGTTCCTTGTCCTTGACAGCTTGAGGGATATGACGCGGTTGGGCCAACTGCGAGCAAATTTGGCACCTCATTTATCGATGGTTGCGGTAAGAATTGCTCACATCGACCGACATACAATCAGATCGGGAAACCTACTAACCGCCTAACCTTAGGTGCTAGATAGGTAGTGAGTAGCGCGAGTTTGCGCTCCCTGTTAGAACGGGGACGCGCGGGGCCAGGTAGGTAGGCTTAGTGGATGCATCCAGCGACCATAGTGGATGGTTACAGTGGGTGCTAGTGGACATTATAGTTAGGGCCTAAGGAAGAACTCTTGATTTGAGAAGAACACACAGAACCTGGAAGCGCTTCAGTGTAAAAAAGGCCCGTTAAATTAGCAAGTTTTATTACCTACGGTACAGAAGACTTCTAATCCCCCTTAAAGCACCACAGCTGTACTAAGCCTGTTTCTCGTTGGGCAGACTTGCAAAAATTAACGTTTCAAGGTTGTTTGGCAAAATTGTCCACGCGTTCCAGCGATAGCCCAGCCTCTGTTTCGAAGTCTTCCGTTCAAATCAGCTGCCGAGTCAACCAAACACACCATCCAAATAGTTAACATTTGGAGTTCTGCCTTGGCCTACAGGTACCTAACAGCGCTGCCCCACAACCTTTTCAGCCATTGTGCATGTCCATGTCGCACTGCTCCGGTTCAATAGGTACATATGGTGTAACTTTCAAGCCTCAATAGTCATACTTATAAGCAAGAGAAATGCCGCAAGTAATCACCGAGGCCTGGATTGGGTATCTCTATTGTTTTTGCTGGATTGATCTCTACTCGGCAGTCCTCGATAACGTAGACTCTCCAGCACTAGGTACTGACAACTGGCAGGGTTTCTATGGTGTTTGAATTGACTGTGCTGGTGCAGTGTGAACAGTGGTGCAGTGCTATTAGTAGTGCAATCCAGTGGGTGCAATCTAGTGGGTTGTAGTGCAGTGGGTGCATTTTGGTAGATGTAGTCTACATTTAGTGGGCGTAGTCGGATGGGTTCAGTGTAGTTGGTACAGTACAGTGATGCTTCTTGGCTAGGTCAGCCGAGCCCTGGACAAATTGGGGGGTTGACATCAGTTCCGTGGATCTTGGGGATCTCATTGAAAAAAATAGTGCTAAAGACGACGCTAGAGCGACAGGCGTTGTCGTGAACGATGTCGCCATTAGCAAAGGGCGGTAACTAAGCCTCAAGTGCGTTGGATGGCGGTCTCACTAATATTGCCCTGAAGCTCGGAGTGATGCTCGGTTTGATACTAAGCTATTTTCTCGAGTTAGAAGGCCATGGTGATTTCTGTGGACACTGAAACGGGTGGTTGATTCATTGTACAGGCTAGTCGCGAAAATAGACTTGTATGGACATGGGAATGAGGGATGGGGGAGCCATGAAATAGTGATTGACGCTGAATATGATGCCTAGAGCTGACATAATTTAGGGGGTGCCAACGGCATTGGACGCACCAAGCCGCACATGCAAGTGGCATGCTGGCACCAACACAGAAGCGCAATCCGCGTCAGAGTTGCCCAACTTGGTTTCCTGCTGGGTCAAATAATCTACGAAGTGCATGTCAGCGAATCCCCGCGAGTATATTCGCATGTGACGATTCGGCTAGTTGATTCAGGGATAACCTACTGCCTGCAGAATCCTCGACTCAATCCGAGGGAGGTGATGCTGGCCACATATCATAGTCGATCACATCACTCCAAAGAAGCACTTCATTTTCATCGTCTTGTCCGTACCAATCATCAAAGTCTTGTTCTAGCCCAGGCGTCCGAGACGGCTTCTTGACTGGCCGTTTTCTCTTCCCCCTTCGGTTCTGTCGTTCTTGAAGAAACGATTTCTTGGCTTTTTCCGCCCATGACTCCAACGAAACAGGGCTCAAGAGGCAGCGAAGTACCAGTTCTCTGATCGACAATGAATCTTCCATGCTGTCGTGACCTATCGTACCCGCGCCTTGCCGGATCTCCAAACCGAGGATGTCTTTGCAGAGCTGTTGCAACCCCCATCTCCTACCGACTTTACGGTCTTTGAAAACAGCTGTGGAAGTGATAATTTGCGAGTCTACTACCGTGGCATGTGATACTCCCAGGACATTCAAATCAAAGTTGAGAGATTGACCGATGAGTATCGTATTCTCGTCAATGTGTTTCCAGAGTTCTTGACGAGCTCCCGCAGATCCAACCAGAGTTTGACCTCGGGCCATGGCGATGGCCATGTCGGCCGGAGACAGGCCAGTGATTTTCGTCCGCCAATCAATGATTTGCTGCCAAGGCTTGACGATGGAATTGATGAGAACCTCTCCCGTGAAGAAATCGAGAGCGCAGAGCTGGACCGCCTCGTCCCGACCATCTATGCAGCCGACCATGGCACAGTCGAGCACGACAGCTTTTCTTTTTGGCGTCAGGAAACTTGGACTGGGTGATCGAAAGAAGACCGTAGTCGGTGCGTCGAGCTGTTTGGAGCAGTGGAAGGTCATGCCGGAAACATCTGCGAGGAAGTAGCCATGCTGCACGAGACAGTCTGCCGAATGGCGTTGAGCTTTTAACAAGTTCTCGGCATTTGTCGCGTCTAACAAGGACAGAATTGAATAATCGTTCTCTCTGTATCGAATGGTAGGTTTGGGTTGTGGTGTCGGAATTGAAGCAGCATTCGTCTGTGATGCACTGGCTGAGGGCATCGGGGCATTTGCGACTGGGGAAGGTGTCAGGACCGTGGAGGCATGTTTTGCTGCGTTGTGCTGAATCCGAGCGTCTTCGCTGGAAAAGGTTTTTCTGCATTCCTGGCACCGAGGATGCCTCTTAAGCTTTTTACCTAAGAGATGCTTCGCGAGTGCTGATTTGTCAATGAAATGCTCGTCACATATATGGCACAGTGGGCCAGCAATGTGCTGTTCTGCTGTCATATTGAATGAAGCTTCGAGAGTAGGTATCCTCGCTGATGAATGCGTCAAAAGAAGAGGTTGAATACATCCAAGTTGGAGCGGGAGGAAACCAGAGCAGGAGGAGCAGCTCACAAACGAAGAGAATAGAGGCCTACCAGAAATTTGCTTTTATTATTGAGGGTGCTGATTAGGAAACCCAAAATGAGAAGAGATGCATGCAACTTGTCCCTGGATAATTGGGTAACAGCAATCGCTTAGATGAGGAACACGGCACATAATATGCGGGAAGTGATTTGTTGGGCCTCTGTGCATAACGGAGTATTGGAGTTTAGAAGCATGGCAGACACATCCTGGTGCGCCACAGCGTAACTGTGTACCTGCCTACTAGTGTGGCACCCTTCGGGTAACACGATCGAAAGGGCTTATTGAGTCTCTGTGTGCACATAATCTTTTCGTAAATGTAGGCCGTCTTTTTCAAAAGTATCCTTATTTTGGAAAATAGTTGTATCATATATGCCCAAAACTGATTGTCACATGTTATGAATTCTACTCTATCCCGTGTTCCTTGATCGTTCGACAGGTTATTCGCAGCTGATGTTCAAGCATTATGAGGTCAACCACGTCTTCGCATTCGCAGAATAAGTTACCGCATGTATTAGGTATACCTCTCACAATAGCTTAGAAAGATCAGGGACTCGGGGCTAGTGCAGCGACAAGTCGACACTGCGAGTTATTGTGCTTGTTACTATACTGCCGGGACGAAGCTGGCCTCTGCTTGGATCCCGACGGAGACACGCTCACTGTGCCAGGAGTTCCAATTGTAGCGTAACACTCATCGAATCAACCAGCCATCACGTTATCCATCTGCACGCTCTGAGAAGGTCGTGATTGGGTAGCCGTATACACAAGCTCATGTTCTCGTATTTTCAAGAATGAACTATATTGGCCTCATAAGATACTCACTGTGCACAGGCGGGTGGAATGAGTTCAAGAACAAATTAGTGTGGTATCATGGACATTGAAAAGATACACTGTATCTACGGCTGTCACGTTGTTCTTTTCGCCCGTCACTGTTGCGGTACTAGATTTGCGCCCGCAACGTCCAACCACAAAAACAGAGTAACGTCTCAATTGCATACAGTGGGTGTAGTATAGTGGGTGCAGTGTAGCCCGTGCAGTAGCCCGTGCAGTGCAGTGGATGTAGTCTAATGAGTGTGATGCGACGAGTGCAGTGCAATAGGTGCAGTACGTATTTGCGGCTGCAGTGGTTGTTGTCTGCCCCATCCATAGGTGGTAGTGGGGCGCACGTACTTTAGTTTACTCTTATTATTCATTTTGCAATAAACGTCGCTACGGAGCTCTGTATAGGCCCTATGATCTGGCGTCCCTTGCCTCATTCTCCCGGCGCACGTAGTATAGATGATGAGTGATTCCAGCGGCAGCTAGCACACAACCGACGGACTGTAAGAACCCAAATGAATCATTCCATAGAAAGACAGAGATGCCAATCATGATCAAGTCCGTCAAAATCCCACAAATACTTAGTGTTAGAGACGAGGTCTCCTTAACCTAGGACGGGTTAGTGATGTTCTATTGATATCAATAAACCCATACCACTGAAAAACCTGCGAGGTCAAAGACAAAGCACAGGGCGGAGTTGGCTAGAAGAAAATGCCAGTTTGCCCAAATCTCATCAGGCGTCGGAGAAGTCATCATAAACGTAGACACGATGCTAACCATACATGCCACAGGCGCGAACTGATACTGAAGAGCAATTGGTTCCATGCTCGACTGGGGCGACTCCAGGGCTCTCTGGGCAAGAACCAACCGAACAGCATCAGTAGACGTTGACATGACTTGCATGGCGATGCCCATAAAAGCTGGTTGACCCCATCCAGAGGAGGCCAAGATGATGCCTCCTGATATTATGACGATATCCAAGCATTTGACCCATGTAACGCTAGCCAGACCTGCTGCGAATAGCAGGATACACACCAGCACTGGGGTCAGTGCTTTGAGCACATGGATTGCTGCAATGTTCAGCTGAATATAAGCAGTGTTTGCGAGCGTTAGACTGCATGTTGTGAAGACCGCTAAGGGGAAAACTTGCGCAAAGGTTTTTTTCCAATCCAATGCGGTGACCTCACGAGGGGCCAAAACCTTGGTTGAAAATGCTACTGCTTGTGTGCATAAGGTATTGAACAGGAGATGGCAGGTGACTACAAATGCTGCTATTGATGGATTGACAACTTCAGCCATAGATCTTAGGCTGGCAGAAGAAGCGGGAGCACTGACGATATTCTGTTGATGAGCATAATGGCGAGAGTATTCGGCTTTCAAACTTACTGAAATCACGGTCAACAAATATCCACCTCTTGATGAAAACGACTGCCATACACAGAATCAACCATAAACTGTGACAAGTTTAGCTTCAGTAGTTGTCTACGAATTGCGACGATCACAGACCAAATGTATGAAACTGCAGCGCTGGGTCTGCTGGAACGGTGACCTGACATTTCCAGAAGATTTGCAGACTCGAGCTTGTGCGACTTTATGAGTGCCAATCAGGAAGAAATAGGGAGTATGAGCGTGCTATCGCAACATGGAGCTATTGGAAAGGGAGACGTTCCGCAGTGTTTGTAGTATTGACAGATTTCCAAGTTAGATCCTCTTCTCGTATTGTCGAAATTCAGTAGCTCTTTCTATAGGGGACAGCGTCGAGGATTGCTCGTGGCGAATCGCAGAAATCTGTGGGCTCAAGAGACGGATAAAGTGCCATCCTTTTGGAAATCGCCAATGTCAAGACCTTGAGCTGAGTAGCCCCTGTCCACCTGCGGGCCATTTGGCTCGTCTATGGCCCCACCGTGGTAATGGTAAGCATCGCTGTTACGTATCAGACCACATTGCCGAATTAAGTAGAAGGCCGCAGTTGTCCCGCCCCTCACCCTTGTCAAACGAGATGCTGACAAGCCTGCGAGAGGTCTGTCATCATGCATATTTCCGATACATGCAATCGGAGATCAGAGCTCACACATCAATGTACGCTTGCATGTAGTCCAGTCTAGCTTATTCGACCAGGAAATAGTTACCAAGGACGGAAATAGCTGCCCAATACAAACCGGCTTAGTGGCTTACCGAGAATTATCACCGTCAATGGACCTCAGGTACGGATCGCAACAGAGGGCGTCCCTTCGAAAGCTCGAGACCGTAGCACTACTCGTGTAAAAGTATGAGAAGAGTGTGTGCGTTAATGTAGTTTCAAATACTGTGGAGGATTTTGGCATCCGTAGACATTTGGCCAAGTTGTCCCACGCCATTTGGGACTCCTGCCAATGAGTCTGATATCTCCTGCCTTCAACACTTATACATGACTAATCCGATGAGAGCAATGTTATAACCAACAATCTGGACGGGTGCCATGGGCGTGCGCCATATCAGTACGGCGGTGATAACTAGCAGGATATTTTTGAAGACACCACTTAGGTGGAGGACGAGGCCCGAGGTCTTACCAATCTGTCTCAAATTAGAATCAAACGCTTGATCTTGAATGTAATAGTACATACCACCATCATGCTCGCCACATTCAGGAAGAATGCAGAAAACATATTCAAGGCCAGCATGGCTACCCCAGCTCGTCCTACGGCTGACCAATGGAAAGACTCCCATTCCGTCTCCCATGCAACGACGAGATTGATCACAGCAGATATGGGGGCGTAATAATAAAGTCCGACGAGTGGATCCATGGTCACGCCTTTTCCTGAAAGCAAATCCTGAATCAAGACGACTCGAATAGACTCGAAGATGAGACCGCCGCAACTGTACAGAATACCTATCCAGGAGAAATTGATTTCGCCGGCACTAGCCATGCTGACGCCAAAGACAATGACCAGCAGCTTGAAGAGAGTTGTTCTCGTAGGTGCTTCTAATCCCCACAACCAAGCCATCATCAGCGTGGTGAAAGGAGCGGCATTCTGATAGTCAGATTAGTAGACTGAAATGAAGTTAGCGTCTCTCCAGGTCACTGACCTTTATTATCTGTATAAGAGCTAGGCTCAAATGCAGATAGACGAGGTTACTGCATATCAAACTGCCAGTGTAAAATACAGCTATCGGGACTACTGCATACATATAACGACTCTTGGTCACTTTGTTCTTGTGTCGATTATCGAGTAAAGTAGTAGTCTTCGCTAGGATTTGAGTGGCTAGAGAGGCAAACGTCATGTGCAAAAATGTGAGAATCACCGCTTGTAGCAAGTCAATATTGGAAGATGATGATAATATCTTGGGTTATATACTTACGATAGCCTGAGCCGCGGATCAGCGTGAGAAACGGGAGCATATTCATATCAGAGAAAAACTCACGGAAACCAGCATTGTCAATTAGCCACTTGTTGAATAGAATGGTCAGAGTTGAAAAGAACATCCAATTGCTTGAAGAGGGATTACTGTTAATGCTTATTCGGGCGTACCTTGCAAGAGGTATCTTACATAATACAGAATAAGGACTTTATGGACAGGCCGTTGTGTCTTCCGATCTGTGTCCTGATCGAAAAGGGTAGGACAGGTTCGCGCATATTTAGGCTGGGATAAATTTCATAAAGTACAAATGCAAAGACGGCGAGAGTTGCAAGTGGCGAGCGATGCGCGAGGTGACGTTGGGGGCATGATATCATTAATAGTGACGGAACTCAAACAGATATAGTAATCGAAGTGACGAATACGCCCGTATCCGGAGATGGTATATTTGACCAATAATGGTTGATCTATCACAACGTCTCAACGTGATATAGCGAAACGCAAATCCATATCGCAGCCCCGCATTTCAACTCCTCATCATGGCAGGTACTTTGTGCCAGGTCCAATGACATAAGCAATGTACCTTGTGATGCGCCGGTGTCCGTGAAGGTTACCCTGTCGCACTTCCAAACAGAATTCTATACTGGTATTGCTGCTTACTCTAATGCACAATGACCTAGTGCAGCTTGGGGCTATATGGCCAGACTCTACCAACAGAAAATCAAGATTTTGTCATGGTTATGATACGCAATATGACCAGCTTATTCTACTTTATTTCTGTAAGAGATGACCCTCATGACAGGAGAAACAATGCTGAGGTCTTGATTTGGCACTCAGAGTGGCAACATATCCGGTCTACAGAATTGAATAATGTTTCGTGGAAGTTATTGCTTAGGGTTTTCTTCTCAAAATACATATTCAACTGTACTAAACACGCTAATCATGTAGGTCAAATTAGACTCTGATACATTTGCCCATTATCCTTCGCCACCAAGAACTGCGTTTCTCTTTACGGCCACCTGATTCTTTGGCGCAGGAGGTAGATTGACTTCCTGCTTCGTCAGGCGACTCTGAGCCCGTAGACTTGACAGAAGGCTCCGAAAGCCGCGCCAAGGAAGCCCTCAGCTGTGCCGAAGCATCTTCTGGCGTGATCTCACGCGTTGGTTCTCCGTATAGCTCGTAGCCTCCGAAAAACTTCTTAATTGATGGAAATAACAAAGGTGGGCTGAAATGAACATGAAGATAGCTGCTTTCCAGATCTTCACCCGTCGCATTCAAAGGGGCCTGGTGGATAGCCGATACTGGAGATTACATCAGCGATAATGGTCTGTGATCAGGTCGAGCCAACGCCCAATTCGCAGAATTCGTACCGTAAGGGAAAGTAATGCCAAGTAAATTGTCATAGATTCTGTTCAGTTGCAGCATGGCTTCAGAGAAGAACAACTTCTCCGAGGCTGTCAGATGAGCCAAGCTCGGTACGTGGCGTTTTGGTAATAGGAGGACTTCGTACGGCCAGACGGCCCACCAGGGACAGACTGCCAGGAATCCTTCATTTTGCCACACAACTCGCTCTTGTTTGTCCATTTCAAGACTCACATAGGCGCCTAACAAATGTGCGCCGCAATTCTCCTCGCGATATTTCTTCATCTGAGCCTGTTCTTTTCTTGGTTCGTCTGGCATGCTTGAAGTGATCCAGATTTGGCCGTGGGGATGGGGATTGGAGGCGCCCACAATGGATCCATTGTTATCAAATATTTGCATGTATACCAGATCACGTGCGTCTGAGGAGCTCCCGTCGGTGAATGTTGTCTGCGAAGCTCCTGGGTCCGGTAGATTCTGTTTCAGCGGATTATCAGGCGAAAGGTGGATGGCGTAGAGTTTGGCCCAGGCCTCAATAATGCAATGAACTTCCTCGATGGTCATATCGGAGATTTTGTAGTGGTGATTCGACGAATAAGAAAGAACGTAGCATCGGCCGACTACGGGTTCGATGCGCAAAAGCCCCAAAGAGCTTGCTAAGAAAATTGTTAGAATTAGCAGTGAATACATACGGAATAAGCGGATGCCAGTTAAATATACCGAAAGAAGTCTCACAACCTCCCTCATTCATAGTTACCGTGCTATAATCATTTTCGAAGAGAAAAGTTCCAACGTATTTGGGGTTTCGCTGCCCCGATGCCCTGAGATTACCAGGACACAGGTAGCACAGCAACGACTATCAGCTAAAATCATCTACAGTATTTCTTACAAAAACTCACCTTTGGATCATAAACCTTCCTTTCATCAATCGCCACCGGTTCCCGCTGACCCCTGGGTTTCATCTCTTCAGAAATGACCTCTACCCGAAGCTTTTGGGACTTACAGTCTTGGTCGCTTGTTTTTGTGTGGGGAAGCAAGCAACACCCACGAACCTCGCAGTGGGTCAAATCTCCGGTGCGCGTGACCGCTAAGAGAAATAGCAGACATATTCCCCATAGCACATTGCAGCATGAATTAGTAAAGTTGGGTGATTCCAAAGGACTATGTCTTCTATATGCCCTTATAGCGATTATCTGTAGTTACAAAATACTTGGCATTATTACGGATTTTGCGTACATAATCAAAAGGTACTTGGATTTCTTGAAAAACGAACAACCAGCATATTTAACTTGTAATCTTGCACAGCATTTGCAGTAACCTTGCAGGGGGTCTTGTGTAATCTTGCAGGATGTCTGGTGTAATCTTGCAGTGTCCCTGGTGTAATCTTGCAGTGTCCCTGGTGTAATCTTGCAGGATGTCTGGTGTAATCTTGCAGTGTCCCTGGTGCAATTGTGCAGGGTGTCTGGTGTAAGTTTGCAGGGCGTCATTTACAACGCTGCATCGCAAATATACTACAAAGTATTGTATGAAGGACAAAAATCACCAAGATCAAAGTTTTATTAATTGGATATGCTTTTAAGAACCAGTCTGAATTGCCCGGACGGCGATTATTATGTCAAGTCATACAGGGGAAGGCCTTGGGGAATAATTAAGCCGAGCTTTTGAAAATGGTATCTGGTAAAAGACTGGTTTCTCACCCCGACTTGCGTATTTCCCGAGCTTTTGACTGGTACGGCTGGTAGACCTAGGCTCGGCGACGAACGCACATCTAGATTACCATGCAAAATCGTAATTACTCGAACGTGTAGCTGTAGGGAGAATATCCTAACTAAAGAACAGAAGAGGAGCATTACAATAACAATGCTTTCTTATCCCAGTCCTGTCAACTGAGAAATGGTGGACGGCACCAAGTCCCGTCTCACTTCCTGCATTGTACCATCTGCCATCAGTACCACTGCGTCTCTACCCATCTTTGTGCGCAGGTTATCCAGCCTATGAGCAATGATTACCACAGTGTGGCCATTCTGTGTGAATTCCTCGTCAATGATGCGGTAGATGTTTGACTCTGTTGTGGTATCAAGAGACGACGTAATCTCGTCTAGCACAACCACTGGCGTCAGTCCTGCTGCTCGCAGCCCGCCAGCTTTGACGAGAGCTCGGCAGATTGAGAGTAATTGGCATTGTCCCGCAGACAGGTTCTGAAATGCCGACATCTTTTGATCGAGTACCGGATGCTCACCAACGCTGGAAATCAACAGGCCTCTTTCCACACTCTTCTCGCTCCCCGCAAAGTGTGACCAAAGGCCCGTTTTACTTAGTGCATCAATCAACTCTTTGTCCGTGACGGAGCAATCTGGATTCAGGTTAAAGCGCAAGGTTTCTTCTGGTAGAAGCAAGGCATCTTGCGTCACTGCAATGAAGCATCGTTGCCGTAGCAGATCAAGCCTGACGCGGCTTATATCTATCCCATCTAGCATAATCTTGCCAGATTGCAACTCCAGAAGCCTCAGAAGCGTCAATAGCAATGTACTCTTTCCACTGCAAACAGACATCAGCCGATGTATGATATGGCCTTCGGAAGATAGGTACTACTAACCTGCCTGTACGGCCGCAGACGATGAGCTTCTGGCCTGGGCTAATATCGAGGCTGAAATTTACAATCGCAGCAGAATCGGAGCTGGAATTGTCAATTAGCTGTGGAGAACGTGCCGCATTCACAAGAGGCTCTCACTGATAGGCGGCAGTTATGCCTTGAAATTCGACGCGTCCAGCGGAGGGCCAATTTTGAGGCGGCTCAAAGCCCCAACTCAGTCCACCCTCAACAGGAGTTGTGTTTTGAAGTGTTTTCAGGCGAGAAATTGCGCCGAGCGAAATTTCAAAGATCGTCCAGTTTTCCACAAGCTTGAGTAGTGTTGTATTTGCGACGAGCATAATGTTGAGAGCAATTCCGACTTGTGCCCCACTGACATACTCTCGCAGAACTACAGCTATGATGATCGACATTGTAGCCACGCCCGCGACTAGGAGATCCAGTACGAGGTTCAACCATCTCTGCAGGCACAAAAGTAGGAACTCTGGGCGCTGGGAATGTTCGACGCTGCGGACATTGGCCCGGGTAATGGCTTTGGACCAACCAAAAGCGCGTATCGTTTCGAGGCCTTCAACCTGAAAGGGTATCAGATTAATAGTACGTCCAAACAGGGCAATAATTACGCACAGACTCAAGAAAGCTTGAAAACACGCTGGCTCGGGCCTCCAGTTCCAAGTAACGCAGTTGCCGTGATGATCGAAGATAGACTTTTTGTACAATGTAAATCAATGGAATGCAAATTGGGAACAAAATCGTAAGCCATATTTCAGCCGTGCAAAGTACTATTATCTGCATGGCGAGCTTGCACACCTCTGTGTCTTGTTAGCTGAATGATGCCTAAGCGTCGTACATCAAACCCACGAGTGACGATAGTCTGTAGCGCCGAGGGTAGCTGTTTGTCGATGAGTTGAATATCTTGACTGAATCTAAAGAGGGCATATTAATATTGATTAGGTGTAGGCAGCCAAGCGTCCGTACCTATTTAGGATCGAACCATTGTCTGTGGTTGAGAAGAAAGATAATGGAGCACTAAAGTCTCATCAATTCCGATCACTAAACACGATGAGTAGAATAAAACCGCACGTACCTCATAATGATCTTCAATAGACGATCATGTATTCCGGCTCCCGATTGAGGAGCAAGTCGCATCAGGACGACCCTTGCAGTGATAATTAGCCATACCCAGGCGTTTGATAGGCAGGAAACTCACCAGGCTTGAGCACTTGTGGTTACCCATGACACCACGGAGAAGCATATGTAGCCCATGATATAGTATGTCGTGGTACTATTACCCACCTCGGTCCACAGACGAAGCCAGTACTGTGGCATCGTGATGCAGAAAGAATATATAGATGTGTCGCAGACAAGGTAGAAGATGTTCACAAACTTGACGAAACCTAGGTAGTATCCTAACAACAACTCACATTAATTTCTCGTACAACCGTGCGGAGATGAAAAAGTTACCGTATAGAGCTGTATCGCCGGTCTGTCTTGCCAAATCTAGTTCTGTCTCCTCCTTAGCCCGAAGCTGAGCACTGAGCCTGTTGAAATTTGCTGATAATGCAACGCTTGGTTTTGTGGAATTTCCAGAATCGAACTTCATGATTGATGAAGTTTTAGTCTTGATGTTCTGCCAGGTGCCCTGATCAGTGATCGTATGATCGCTCAGTATCACTACATAGTCCGCACTGGCGAAGTACTGGGCTGATAAAAGGTTAGCTTGTCACAGATAAGAGCCTTGAATTACCTTACCGGAATTAGAGACAAGAATCACCGTGGTGCCCAACCTTTTGAGCATACCGGAAGGTCCGAAGAGGTTGTGGAAAACAGTCCGTTCAGTCTCTCCGTCTAGACCACTAAAGGTATCGTCAAGTAGTATCACGCTGAGTCTTGCATACAATGCGCGAGCGAGTGCCTGTGCAGAGTAAGTATCGCTTTTCCAGTTGATGATACTGTAGAAACTTACAACGCGTTGTCTCTGACCTCCTGATAGATTGAGTCCCCTACTGCCAACCTCAGTCTGATCACCATTGACAAGTGCCCCTAAGTCATGACTGAGACAACACGCATTTACAACTTCACCATACCACTGCTCATCATGTAGATCGCTCGACCCATGGATGACCTGTTTTATTGTGCCGTTAGGAAGCCATGGTGTCTGGGCGCAGTATGCCATGTGGGTTGTCGATACTGAAACCGAACCACGAGCAGGTGCTACTTCTCCAAGTATCAATCGTAGCAGCGTTGATTTGCCACTACCTGTAGGTCCAGATATAATTGTCAATGTGCCAGCGGCAATATCGAGGTTGATGTTCTCCAGGAGAACCTGTGAGTCACCTATCTGTACTTGACGAATTTGAACATCGGGACCGGCCGACATTGCTTGACGCGTTGCTGAATTCCACACAAGGTTTGTGGATCTTATTTGGGGTAGCGTTCGACGATGGACCTCCAACGGTAGCCGAAGTAAGAATGTTTGAATCCGATCGAAACCAGCCATAGCCCCTACTACTCGGGGCACAATGGTCATTACCATATTTGCAGGATGTGTAATCATGCTCAAGATGGCTATAGTGGTAAATGCGGTCTCCGTGTCTAGCTTGCGGCCGTGAGACGCAGCATTCATTGCGAATACGAGCAAAGTAATGGCCGGGGAGAAAATGCCGAGTGCGTTTGCTATTAGGCGTCAGTCTATGTTCCGTGAGTTAAACAAAGAATGTCTTGCAACAAACCGGACGCATTGTAGTATACCATGATCCATCTTAGTTTTGAGGCTAGATGAAGCTCCAAGGCCCGGAGGGACTGAATACGAGTACTCATATAGTCCTGGTACCCCAGCATCTTTACGATTTTCATAGCCTTCAGGACTGAACTCGTAGCTGCTATACGATATTGCGTTGCATTATTCCAGGCCGTTTGTCCAGGATGCAAATGTTGGGCAACAAACCGACTCATGTGGGAACACACTACGGAAGTTAGTAACCAAGACAGGGGCCAGTGGGGAAATTATTTACAGTAAATGAGAACAAAGGTCAGGGGCCAAAACCGCCCGACCTGACCAGCCAGAAGCCACGTCCCAATGAGCACTTCTACCACCTGAGCCCAGATTTCGTGAATCATTTCTCCAATCCCTTCGAGGCTATCAGCGTCAGTGCTCATCAGTGTAGTAGCCGCACCATTGTCATATGCAACACTGGCCAGCTTCATGGTATGTTCATGGATGAGCCCTACTAGAGCACTTCTAGACATTAATTTGAGTCGATTTAGGGCATTCTGGTACGCAGCATTCGACACCTAAGGCTTCGCATTAGCATCCGGACATGAGCTGCTAACTGGCACCTTACCGCAATGCCGACATATATCACCACGGCACAAACGACGAGCCAGTACCCGTTGGAAATCTCGGATGCCTCAGGACCAGCTGTGGCATATTGTATTGATCGATGAATCAGGATGGGTTGAGAATAACGGAAGATGACCAACAAAAGCCTTGGTGGGATGGCGGCTAAGAATGGGGATCTTAGGCATCTCAGCAAAGCCATGGGTAATGTTCTAGGTGTTTCAGGTTTATCTGGTTCAATGAGAAATCAGTACATGAAGACATGAGAGTTGATCTCACTAACCTCGTTGAGACCAAGTCTCAATCATCGCTCTTCTTGTGAGTTCTGGCATCATGTCTTGGTCGAGGGGTGGCATATCCTCTTGAGTAAAGATGTTCCGATGACCTTGAAGCAAAATAGGTATCATCCACCAGAAGAACAGCCGACTCAGAACCCCTGGAGACCCTTGACGGTATTTGTGATTGCTGCTGACCACAACGACGGTACGCCGCGCTCTGTATTCGAAAGACAGCAAGATAGATTGCATGGAGCAGCGGACGAAAATTGGCCAAGAGACATCTCCATGTCCAGCGACATTGTGAGTAACGGTGAGATAGACAAGATCGCAGATGACAGAGGCGAAAAGGTACCGCGTGATCCCATCTGAAATCTGGAGAGGTCGCTGCTGTTCTATGAACAGCAACAAACTTAGGCCCAACGCCGCAATCGTAGAGATCAGCAGGGACAGTTGAGAACTTTGTTCATGCTGGAGATCGAAGCTCGAACCTTTGGTCCAGTATGCAAACAAGACAATTGAAAGCAATAGTGCAAAAGCCTTGGTAAACGGTCAATGTCATGTAGCGTTGTAGACCGCAGGGTTCAAACACTGACGGCCTTCAGGAGTCTCTGCCAGCTTGCGGCAGTTCGGATGCCGAAGGTGCGAAGTTTCCACAAACGAATCGAAACAGATAATATGAACGCCGAGGCGCAAGCCGTAGATGCGAGATGTAAAGCATTGGTGAGCTCGAATGCCATTGTTAATAACCAAGAAATAAGTGAACGCGGTGTATCCAAAATAAGCAGTTTACAAGTCAGTGAACGAACGTCTAAGGTGCAGATCGAACGGCGATAGCCGTGTTTCGAATTGGGAACAGCATGGCTTTATAGGGGAGGCGAAGAAATTGGAGACAAAATGAATGTGGGCAGGGTTTGAGGACCGTACAATGTAGGGGGACGGCGGCAAAAATCCCCAGACTGGGGGCAGGCAGGGTTTGGCGGCAAACTCGCAGTACATTATCTGGTGGGTTAGCAGATAAGTGTCCACGGCACGGTGAGACAACAGCCGCTGTACACAGCCTACATTAGCGGTCATGTTTGCCGAAAGTTTGGTGATCTCTAGTCTCCATTTTTTCCGTCGGTAATGGCTTGGTATCGGATAGTGAATTCTCATATAATCCTTCCATCCCCCAATCGCGACAGCCAGTCCGAAAAATGCCAAACATCACAAATATGGGCCCCCCGTCACCATGCAATACGGTAGGTTGCTAGCAAAAGGTCGCTACATGATAATACGGAGTTGCTAGCGATCTGCCGGCAATTCTCCCAGGCTACGATACCGAATTGTGACCGACCTTGGTTTTATAGTGACAATTAGTGACCAGGCCGGCAAACGTACGAATCGAATCGGATTGAGGACCGCGTTCACCTTGATTTTGAATGATCTTAGACCGGTTAAATGTCTTTTGTCCAGATATTTGGATATCTGGATGATCCCTTCTTTTTTCCCTTTTTTTTTTTTTTTTTGTTGAAAGGAAGCCTTATAGTTAGTGGCTCTGACCATGTCCGCCTTCAATCGTTCTCTCTGGCATGTGACCACCTGTCCATTTACACCAAGAGTCTGTCTTGGCAGGGGAGACACGGCTATCGCGAGAAGCAGACTAGTCGTAGAGAGGCCTTATTCGTAACGCAAGGATAAGATAGTCATGCTGTCCAAGTAGATCTCGCTTTGCGGTCGAAACCTTGAGATTCTGGTGGAGATTATCATTCAGATGAGGCCAATGCTTTTCACCGGGTTGAATCATGGAAATGCAAGCAACGATGTTATTGCTACGGGACGATGACTACTTGAGCACAACGTGTTGCTGAAGGGTTTGTGGGACGACCTTGGAACGCCGATGGAATAACCAGACAAAGGCCGAAAAAGCGACATATTGTTCAAGTTGGATCGCGTAGGCTTTTGCTTGAGCATCTGAACTACATATGAATAAAGCGCTTCCTTTCGACCCATGACCCAGCATTCCGACGATAAATCTCTCAGCCACTTCGAGTTATGATCACGATAAAAGTCGGCTCATACTGACGCTATCCCCGTTGTTCTTAATTAGTGTCTAACTTCTTGCCACGACTTCGGCGGCCCATGCCTGCCTAACCCCCGTTTTTGGCGCACTGCTCCGAATCAAAGTACATGCATGATTACTGCTTCATTATCACGACACCACCCTTGCCCATATACATGGAATATGCAGACAGGTAGGTAGGAAAGGCGGCAAATCAACAGTACCGAACATTTTGGGTTTCGGATCTTCGGATCTGATAGTAGTCCAGTTTGTTGACACTGCAAGATCCTTGGATCGTTTGGATTGGCGTTCGTGGAAGTTCCGGATAGGGATCCGGACAAGATAGAGTTTGAACTAAAGCGCGACTGCTCCAAGCGCTGTGGAGCGGCCCCGGGCTGCTACAGTACCTCGTCCGAATGTACCGTGTAGTGTAGATGCGCCCCTAGCTAGCCCCCGCTTCCGTCTCCGCCCCCCGCCTGGCAGATGGTGGCATGGCACGCGACCAAACCCGAAATTCTCGGCCAATGGACCTGCTGCTATACGAGCAGATATAAGCGGGATTCGCAATATACCAATCCCCATATTCTTCAAAGAGCTGTCATACTCCGAAGGGCTGCCATACTCCATCGTTGGATGATAGGAAAATACGAAGTTGAAACGCCCCTCCCTCTGGCATACACGACACAATCATTTACGAGTTGCTTACTACCTTTTCTGCCGCGCGAGTCGTGTCCGTCCGAAGCCGTCAGTGAAGCAGCGGAGACATGGCGGATGAAGATAGCAAGGAGAAACGACGCCTCCAGAACAGGGAATCCCAACGACGTTTCAGTATGTTCCTCCAAGCAATTGGCCCATTCCTGGGGGTGAAGTCTCCGTACTAAATGTCTGTTAGGGCAACGGCGACAATTTTATCAGGGCTCGTCAAACGCGCGGCTGAATGAGGAGCAAGGCGCAACCGGGTCCACCTGGCCGCCGTCGATGCCATCGGCTGCTTTTTACCCCACAAGCGTTCCCTTTCAGAACGAACGTCGCTCCAGCATTTCAACGTCGCAGAATGAGTCTTCGGCCATCTCTCCGATACATGCATCGCAGACCACTCCACGTGCAACACAGAATTGGGGGTCCCAGCGGAATCTGGGAGCTGTTGGCTCTGTAGCCAGCCCAGCACAATCAGCCCCCCAGCAATTCCAATCCCAGCAGACGACCATGGCAGCTTCGCAAGCACCCGTGATTCGTGATCTTCCGATTGTGAATGGTCCGGCTGACGGTGAGGCCCACTCGCTACCATTGACCGACTTGGAGGAGCAAAGGCACACATCAGTCTCTATGGCCCAACCTTTGCTTCCGAGCTTTGGCTCCCCCAGCCTCGGAAGAACAGAGGATAACTCTACTTGCCTGAGCAATGAGTATTCAGGTTCCGGTGAATTGAGCAAGCCCACGCGATATCGGCAGAGACGGCTTAGGATTGGGGGTTTCTCAAGAGCTGAAGAAATGGTATTAGACGTAGAGCGATTGCATAACTCTGCAGTAGACCTGGGCATCCTCGAGGAGGACGATAGAATGCTCACCTTGCTTCGAGAAATGAGGATGCGCCTTGGGCACTTTACGAGGCGGCTCTCGTTGGACGACGAGGACGACCTGATGGCACAAGAATTCGACATAGATCTCAGCTGACTGTACAGCTTCTAGATTCGGGATTGCTCACCATGGCATTCTGGCGTCCAACTATTGGCAACTGAGCAAGATTGAGACTAGCTAAATCGGCGTGCTCGCGACAAACAGCAATTACAAGACTAAATCCTCGGTTTCTGCGCAGTCGCACAGTTCTCTTCGTAGCTCTGGGAAGGCTGTAATTCCTCACATGTTCAGACTTCGGTAGTCACAAGACTTCAATTTGACAATCGACTATTGGGAAGGTTGGTGTCCATGATTCCTGCGAGAGGGTAACAGCATAGGGGTTGTCAAAGTGTAGGAATAAGTGGAGCGCTTCTCCACACATGTATATATTTTTTCACCATCCAACAGAGGTTGGATGTGAACAACCTGACAATTGAACTAATACGACAATTATTGTACTATACCCACGGTACCTTTTGACAGGGGTTTGATCCACCCAGGTAGCCGCTGACCTCCACGTACTAATGCGTTGAAGGGTAAAGACTTAGGAGTATACGTACCATCAGCCGCATGAACTGTGCAGCGTCACATGACAATTGTAGCAAGAGACAATTGTGATGCATGAGAAGGGTAATCATATCTGCAAGGTTATCAATAATCTTGGCTGTCACACTTTGAAATTCGCATTTCGTGCGTACTCGGTCATCAAAGATTGCAAGGCTAATCATTACCAGCTGATGGTCGATTGATTGTCCGACCCATAGGTCAGCTCTCAGCGATCAGTGAAGCAGTGCGTTGAACCCTCCTCTCCAGTAGACTGGCACGTGGAGCTGAATATTGATCAACGGTTCACAATCTGGGTGCTCGGAGCGCTTACGCACAGCAAAACCTAGCATCTTTTATGTCGTGAATATTCATATTTGGGAGCTTTCCCGTGAATCACCCTTTCCAACAGTCTTCATCGGTTTCCCATGAGCTTTTCGTCATTAGAGTGTATCAGTGCCATCAGCCATGGATTCCTCACGACATCCATTCACCTTCTCACTGAAAGAAGAGCCAATTGAGAACCATCGCCGGCTCGAAATTCGTGTGATAGGTGCCGGGTTTTCAGGGATCTACCTGGGAATAAGGGTTCCGCAACGATTACGCAATGTGAACTTGAAGATTTATGAGAAGAACGAGCGCATTGGTGGAACTTGGTGGGTAAATAGATATCCCGGTTCGTTCCCTTCAATTATGTGCTGTCCACGATGAGCTGATTGATGGGTAGGATGTGCCTGTGATGTTCCTTCTCACAGCTATCAATACTCCTTCGTCCCAAATCCGGACTGGTCTTCTTTCTATGCCCCTCAAGCAGAGATTCAATCCTACCTTCAAAATGTTGCAGACAGGTATGGAGTCATGAGATTTGTCAGTCTTGGGCATGAAGTACAGAGCTGTACCTGGAGCGCGGACACCATGAAATGGCACCTCAAGATATGCAACCTTGAGAACGGCCACGTGAGCGATGACGAAGCGGACGTGCTAATCTCTGCCCGTGGCAACTTGAGCCTCCCGACATGGCCAAAACTCCCTGGGCTTGAGACCTTCGGAGGAGAGCTTATGCACTCGGCTTCCTGGAATGCCAATTTTGATTTCAAAGGAAAGAGCATTGGAGTTATTGGGAACGGCTCAAGCGCCATCCAGATCGTTCCAAAACTTCAGAAAACTGAGGGAAGTAAACTGTCATGTTTTGTACGGAGCGCAACGTGGATAACGAATCCATTCGGGGAAAGTGAGTTAACAATGAGGCGAGCACATCCCAGTATGCTAGCTGTTGCCCAGTCCTATTCCAAAACAATATTCCCTAGGACACGGAGTAATCAGAAACTAACTCATAAAGACATTATTCACAAGTTGTCTCTGGACCCGCAAGATCCTAAGTGTAAGTTAAATCCTATCTACAAAAGGAATAGTCTTCTCACTCTTTGTCAAGTCTCAAATCATCAAAGAGAAGAGCTAGCGAACAGTCCGGAAAAGCTTCATGCCCTGAGAAAAGCCATTGAGCAAGATGGCAACACAGTCCATGCTATTTGCATGAAGAATCACGACTTGCATCGTTCGATAGCTGAAAGCACTCGCGCCGCCATGCGATCGCGGCTATCGTCGAAGCCCGACATTGCAGAATTTTTAATTCCTAGCTTTGCTGTAGGGTGCAAAAGGATGACACCTGGGCTGGGATATCTTGAGGCATTGACGGCGTCAAATGTAGACTTTTTTACAGATCGTATCACCAAGGTGACTAGACGTGGAGTTATTTTAGAGAGTGGCAGACAGGTCAATCTTGACTGTCTTGTTTGTGCAACTGGATTCAACACATCGGGGGTACCTCCTTTTTCGATTCACGGCCTGAACGGAATCTCGTTGGCAGAACGCTTCCACCCACATCCCGAAGCATACCTCTCGCTTGCTGTCGACGGATTTCCGAATTTCTTCATCATGGCGGGACCCAATTCTGCTGTTGGATCCGGTTCGTTCACAATGATACTCGAGGCACAGGGCGATTACATTGTCAAATGCATGAGAAAAGTCCAAAAGGAAGATTACGCATACATGGAGATCAAGAAGCAGCAAGTCATTGACTGGTCTGAGTACTGTCAATCCTATTTCAGGACCACGGTCTATACTGATGACTGTGAGTCTTGGTACAAGAGTAAAGGTGCAAACGGCCAGCAGATCACCGGGCTTTGGCCGGGTAGCACACTGCATGCACTAGAAGCTCTTCGTGCACCAAGATGGGAGGATTATAACTGGGAAAACGTTCCCGGCGTCGGCAACAACATGAGATGGTTGGGAAATGGGTGGAGTGTTACGCATCTGAAATGCAATGATCAGGGGGACTACGGAGGCGATCCATCTTGGTATCTTGAACCCGAATTCCAGCACGTTCCTTTGCCTGGAAAGCCTGAAGAGGACCCCGCGTTCAAGAAAAGACCCTTTTCCCACTAGAGATAGCTAGCTACTAGTAGGCAGCCAGATACGAGTTTCGCTCTATGCAGAGTCAGTAATTCCTCAAGTGAAGTGTCACATGCGAGTTACCCCACTAAGTACCATGCAGTATAGCGGCCAGTATAGCGGCCAGTATAGCAGCCCCAAATCATACCGACGCTTCACCATCTTACGTCTGGAGCCCACTTCGGTGGCTACACATCACCAGTCTAGACTGAAAGATTCATTGTCAATATCATGGCTCTTGTGGTTAATTCCCACGATGCATTTACTCCTTTACTTTCCATCAACCGATTCCTCCGTCTTCGCCGTGCAAGAGGGGTTGGGGTGGTGGATGCAGATCTATCCACATGTCAGTTCCCACCAACATACCTAGGTACCATAGTCAGAAACAGTGCTTATATTACACCTGCGGGACTTGCTGACAATAGATCCACGGTACCCGTGGACCTCTTCATCTAAGTTATCATAAGTATTTCTAGGAGCCTATCTTGGGAGTTCTTTTTCTTTTTTTTTTATTTCTGTAGACCGTATCATCATTGCACGCCATGTCTACAACAGAGATTCCAACCTGCCGGTGGGGCATTATCAGTAAGTTGCTTTGGGGCGCCAAACCATATCCATGGTCATTCCACGTACTCACCATACTCTCAGCAACGGGTCAAGCCTCGTCATGGTTCGTGACAGAACTGGTAGTCGAGCATATCAGCAACAAGGCGCGGCACATCATACAAGCAATCGGATCATCATCTCTGATCAAGGGCAAAGAGTTCGCGGCCAAGTGTCTGAAGGATGCGCCTAACCAGCAACCCACCATCTACGCCAGCTATGCCGAAGTCTATGCCGATCCACACGTAGACTGCGTCTACATTGGTAGCCCACACGGTCTCCATAAGCAACATTGCCTGGAGGCCATAGCTGCAGGCAAGAACGTACTTTGCGAAAAGGCCTTTACTATGAATGCAAAAGAGGCTCTGGAAGTGTTCGATGCTGCCCGACGAAAAGGCGTTTATGTCGCTGAAGCAATGTGGCTTCGACACCGGCCTATTGTTGCGGAGCTAAAGAAGCTACTACATGTTGAGAAAGTCATCGGCGAGGTGTACAGGACCACGTCGGACTTTCAAATGTGCCTTGAAGTCGCAGAGCTGCCACCGACGTCGCGGTTCAGAGATCTGAGCCTTGGGGCAGGTTCATTGCTTGACATCGGTGTTTATTCATTGACATGGGCCCTCTTGACCTTGGAGGGTGGGACCCCGCCACGCGACGAAAAGCCGAACGTCGTGGCCGCGCAGTCTTTCGTTGACGGTATTGAAGTCATGACTAGCTTGATCCTGAGCTACCCTACTAGCGGTCGGCACGGAATAGTCACAACGTCGATGCAGCAAAGCCGACGGGCATCTTCAGTTATAGCCACCATTGACGGGACTGACGGCTTTATTGAAGTCGAGGGGACCGCACCATCGCATCCGTCCTCCTTCATCGTGTACCCAAAGTGGACCACGGGATGCGACTCAAAACCTAGAGGCACCAGGTATAACTTCCCGGTTTCGCAACAGGGCTTCATATACGAAGCTGACAATACGGCTCTTGATCTTGCCTCTGGGAGAAAAGAAAGCTTGATCATGCCCTGGTCGGAAACGGTACGGGTTATGGAAATCATGGACGAAGTAAGACGCCAGGGAGGCACCAAGTATCCAGTGGATTGAATACAGAGAATATGCCATGGTCATGATAGATACAGCTTATGGCCCCGTGAGTGGCCCGTGGAGATGCCCTGAAGTCTGAGGAAGAGCATTTAGTAGCACAGCTTGACAGTGCAAGCCAGGAATTGGGCCATAAATTTCACGCAAATCATACAATTAGCATCTCCGAATTGCGGCTTCCCGTTCACTGAAAGGAACGAGACTTTAGTCTCTCATAGACTACTGCTACGCCTGGCTCAACAAAGTCATCATGTATCAATTAGATTGTCATACTTGATCACCATCAGCCTTGGAACAGCCTAGCCACATCATGTCGTGTGCTGCCATTGCTGTAGTGCATAAGAATTACGAGAGTTTTAGAATAATTAAGTGGTGGGATCTGGTACTTCATGATTTATTGCTGGGGACATCCACTCGTGAGTAATGTGTTTGTTCTCTGCGCCATTAGTTGGTACGTATCCCTTGTCCTTACTCCCTTTATGCGTCATGTAACGTATCGATGGTGGGCCAAGAGGGGTGAGGTGGCTGCAGAATACTTGCGATTGCCTGGCTTCCCATGTTATCATGTAAGCCTGCATGATTGTATTCATAAGCGTAATTCTCGATCGCCACACCTCAGTACAGAACATCATGTTTCGCGCAGCTTTGCATAGAAGGTACGGTACTGGGTAGAAGTTCAAACCTCTGCCACGATGTTTCGTCTCCTACACAGTGACGCAGGATGACTTTGTACGTACGCATGCAATAGTTGATTACGCTCCCCATTGGTAATCGCCGATGTAGGCTTATCCTGCGGCTTTGGTGGCTTTCATGCCCCATTGGTGATTACAGATGTATGCTTATCCCGGATGTAACGCTAGTGTGTAAGCTCCAACAGGTGCGTGTAATGCTCATATACGCCTTCGGCAATTCGACGGCTTGAGTGGCAGCGACAGCGCAGTACTTTATATCTAATCAGCGAGCCCCCGTCAACCTTCAACATCAGAGTGCACGGTGGCCCTCAGCTTGACTTACAATACCACAAAGCATATAAGAATGGACGAGACACGCAATTCTACTGCTGATGTCCCGCTTCTAAGCGAGGAGGAGTTGAAAAGCCACAACCCTCTCAGGCGTTCGAATAAGGCCCGACAATGGCGGCATATATCACACGGGTTGTTTGAAACTATACTCATCGTCACCATTGGTGTTCTCATGACCGCGTTGTTCTTCGTGGAGTCTGGGAGACCACAGGTCAAGGTTGCCACTGTGGTACCGCAGTGTGAGTGTCTGTGCCATGGAAGATGATTGGTACCTAACATTTCGAAAACAGTCACCCAAGTAAAGAAGTTTTGGGATTGGGAGCCGGACAGGAGTTTCGTGCATCCCGAGATGTTCGGAAACCCAGACCTTCGAGATCGCATCATGAAGGATTGGCTGTCACGACTAGTGCCGCGTAGGTGTCTTGCTTGTCTCCCAGGCCTGTGACTAACCGTGATTAGTGCCTAGCAGAGGATTTATTGACATCCCCAATCCGGAACACCACGATCTTCCACCACCTCGACGTTTCGAGCCGGGAGAAAACAAGTATATGATAACAGTTTTTCATCAGCTTCACTGCTTGGTGAGTGAACGGGATTGAACACTTTTGCCTATGCCTGAACCTGACTATCCTTCTCAGTCTCACCTTATACGCGCGTTTTCAGCTGCTCGTCTGGGAGACGATACGTTTCCCTTTGACGACAATCATTTAGCACGTAAGCCAATAATGTAACCTACAATCCGGCCTGTGCTAACTCTGGTTAAGATTGTTTCGATTATATCAGACAGGGTCTTCTATGTGCGGCCGATTCAACACTAGAAGGCAACAATACCATGACTGACGGTGCACACCACGTGTGCAACAACTTCAATGCTCTCAAGGATTGGGCGGCCGATAACGCAGCGTCCAAGATTCCCCAAAAGCTGTTCATCGGATGAGACCCAGATAGCCTTTCCACTGCCGCACCTGGGTATACTCAACTTGTGATGCCTTGAGATATGCTGTAGGCCGTGGGCAATATGTGTCGCATGAGACTCGGGACAGAAAGTCGTTGCTGGAGAATTGCAGACATTCCTTGATAAGAGTGGAGAGCATTTACTGTACGTCGCGATCTGGACCATAGTGTATTTTCTACATCAGACTTGCGTTTGCAAGACGGAAGGCATAGTTATAGATACATTCATTACCTTTGTAGTCAATTCAATTGCCCAGTAATTGTTGGGCATTATAACCCATAAATTCGGTAGTGACTTTGCGTCGAGGTAATGGTCATTCCCAAGGGGAGATCGTCGTGCTTGTTCTGTCTGTCTAGTGTCTGTGATACCTCCATGTCTACTGCAAAACTCGGTTGTGTCTCGAAGAAACCTGCGCCAAACCACATGTGCTCAGTATCCGCCTTTCTAGCCGTGCCATTTGGCAGCACGCGTGCTACTTGTCAAAAAAAAAAAAAAAAAAAAAAAGGGTATGACAGGTATAAAATGACGAGTATTGAATGAGTTGAGTTGTTCACATCTAACATTGGTCATATGGGCGAATAAAGACATTGGTGGAGAAGCGTTCCATCTATTTCTGCCCTTTGACACCCTATGATCGTTGGTGATCAAATCTCTACTTTGCTGCCTGATGATATTCCGTGATCCATCGGAGTATGCCCGTCCCTTCCCATTTGGCAATAATCCAGTGAACGTTATAAGCGAAGGTATTGTGCGGAAAGCATATTGGCGAGTTTACCAGCCTTCACTTGAGTGGAAAAGTCGTGGGTCTATTTTCCGATGCAGACCGGTGAAGACGGGGGACGGGATAGGCACAATATTACGGTAGGTATATTATTGGGCAGCAGCGTGGGGCGATGCTCTTACCGAAGCCATACTGGATAGATCGATCGTGCACGCGACATCACTCTTCAGCGCATACTAGTTTCTTGCCGCTTCCATTGCCTGGGTCTTTCTTTGAACGCACTATTATCAACCGACCCAGTACTCTCTGCCCCGCCAAACTCCGCCTGTGTGTACTGTGTATGGAAGGGGTCCCCCAGCGGAGGGTACCTAGGCATGCATTTCTTCAGCCAGTAACTGTACTCAATACATCCCACCTTTCCGCTGAACTTTCTTTTTCTCTTGGTGGAAATCTAGTCCAAACTTACATTATAAGCATGCAGAGCGAGTGCCGGCGGACTTGAGCGGTCGGCGCGTCCCGGCCCGGAAGACTAGGGCAAAGTTTGAATTAACCCATGCCACGTCGGAAAGATGCATAGTATGGGTAATTACATAAAGTGGATTTCTTCCGAGAATATTAATTAAATTTTTCACATCAAAAAATCCAGGATATTAGCTAAGAAATCTCCAAGCCTCCCATCTAGTCGAGGGCCTTACGTGGAGTCACCAAATATTGCTCATGGTGGTACGGTGCAGGGGCTGGGCTTCATTTTATGATGGGTACTGATTAGCTAGTGCCTACTTCATTGATGACAAAGCCTAAAACCCTTGCCGCGATCCGGCTCAGGCTCTCATTGCGGCTAAACCCCGTTGCCTAGTCTACCAGGTACATTTACCGTATCACATGCCGTGCTTGCCATGGTCCAAAAGCCTGACCAGGAGGCCAATACACACCCATGCTGCTGCTTTGGAATCTCGAAACATCGCAATTTTGGTTCCGGCCTGGGGAAGCGGAATCTGCGGAAGAGCTTCACCTTCTATCCTTCGCGTTACATGGTGCATCGCATACACTAGTACATCGTAGAACCGAGATACTCAGAACCTTAATCATGATCCACTTTGCGGAAGAGTACCATTGAGCCGACTACGAAAGCCTTACAGGGTCACCAGAACGACTGGAACAAAGGAGGAGAAAGTGAGATCGGGGCATCCATCGTCAAGTCAAGTCATGCTAGTATACATGGCTGGTTGTCTGCGGATATTGCCCAGTAGTGATGGGCCGGCGTCATTCATTGACCAGGAGCTACATGCGCCACCTTGCCGTGTTGTTCCCCTCGTTAGAAATTTCGACGCTGAGGAAAAGTTAATAATAAAAAAAAAGAATTAAAATAAAAGGCCCAGTTCTCTCCTTTGCTGATGCAAACAACAATTAGACGCAGACCCATTTCAAACCATATTCGAATACATCAGGAGGGAGTTTGGTTCCGATTGATGTTTATCGTGGCTTTGCTTCAAGGGCGAGATCGCACCATACTTACGCCGTCCGTACGGCAGTATTGCAGTTTCCGCTCCAATGTTTCCGCATGGTAGGGTGGCCTTGATGTTTTTCACAAAGATTTGCTGACCGAATAGACTATTCAGTGCACAACGCACCGGTTTGATCAACATGGTGAGATCCATCCAATTCGTGACCGCATTGAACGACCAGATCCAAGTGTCGAAACAGTTCATCCTGAGATCAGAAATTAACCGCAACAGACCATCCCTCCTCTGATTGTTGATTGTTCGAATTGTACTTGCAATGTCTTGCGGCATCTTATCGAAAATCGTGCTGGTTGAGTGAAGTCGGTGTCCGAGCATCACTGTGTGCTGTCCAGGGTCCAAGTGTAGCATCAAGGCCCAAACGGCAAATGAAAGGACTTTTCTGAGTCCTATAATGGCTGCACGGTCTTGAAGACTTTCCACGTAGGCTGGCAATTGGACACTATGAAGGAATCAGCATCGCCATGGACGTTGTAACACTTTCATACCTCAGCCTATCGTTTCTGGGTTTCAGCGTGTGTGATCTTTCAGCTTTAGGCGAAGAGATCTTCCAAACAATAAGAGCTTCAAGGGCTATTATCGAATATGCGATAGTGATGCCCGTAAGTCGAGTTCCGCCACCTCGGTAGAGTATAACGATAGTCATGAACAGCTTTGAGAATGATTTCAGAAAAGATAGCAATGACTTGGACTTTTTATTCATGCTTGTCTCGTCTTTTTCGGTCCGGCAGAGGGGAATAGAGTGCAATACATAGCTTTCAGACGAGGGCCATAGGAAAAGCCATAGGATATCTTGAAGATAATCGCTTGGGGTGCCTGACTTTACGGCTTCGACCCAGATTCCTCGGCTATGTAGTTCAATGTATGGTAAGAAGCAACAAAGAAAGCATGAGACTAGGATAACGAAATGCAAAGTCAAGACCAAATATGGCCAGAATTTTCCACGCGTGTGGAAACGAGGAGGAAACAACCCATATGGTTTGTATTCCATCATAATTATAAGGTGGTGGATAGTCGACAGCGGTTAGCTGCGTTTTGAGGTATAGTAAGTATATCCTCCGATCAGGATCATGCCTGCATTTCGCCTTAGATCAAAAATCGTAGCAACGGGCGGATATATCGGCGTGGATCAGGTCAAGTAGGTCCTTAGCCAGCGCGGCGACCGTGCAAACGAGAGAAAGGTTATATTACAATATGCATATTGGATTCTTGTACTTAGTCGCGTTGCGGCAATCAAGTCTAATGCCGTAGAGCGAGTCTGGACCGTTCGTGACACGTTGCGGGACACAGTTCCCTGCAATGGACACCTGCCGATAGAGTTAAGTCGTCGGTGGATGGATATTGAAAATCTAGATACGGGGAAAGGGGAGACAAGGCACGCCGGACACTGCCCGGATTAACCAATAGCAGCCCCGCCTTATTAATCCATAACATAGACACAACTTCCAAGAGGCTGGGTTTTTCAAAGTGATCCCTACCCCAGAATACCATGCGCTATAAAGGAAGCAAGACTTTCACTCGACGGCTAATCGCAATTTGTTCAACAGTGTCAAGAAAAATATCCGATGTAATAGGAGATGTTGAACGGCAATATCGCGGAACTCGCAAGGTTCAGACGCAACTTCCCTGGAAGTTATATTCGAGACCAGCATGGGTCTAAAGCCCGATGATCCACAAAATCCTCGACTTGACCTTTGATTGGTTCGGGAGTAGATCCGGGAGTAGATCGAACATGACGAGCCCGAGGTTAGAAGAGTGCATATGATTGCGTCGGTGTAAAAGCCTGGCAGTTGAGTAGCGAGCATCCAAAATAACTATGGTTGAAACCAAGTATCGCTTCTTTTGAACGTTTCCGAATTAATGCCTGCGGCGTCAAGAAGAAACGACGGCGAAAGTAGTCTTTTTCGCCGATTTTTCAGTGTCGAGGTGATTAAGGTTCCCGAATCCCTGCAACATTTAATGTCCTTCCCAAGAATAAGTCACATTTGCTAATTAAAGTTCTTTGCCAGGGCTGAAGAATCTCTCGTGGCCTTTTGATGATGCATTAGACGAAGTAGATAGCTGATTCGAAGACATTTTCATCGGAGGCATATGAAGGCATTTTTTTTTAGCTTGGCGGCAACACGTTGGACTTCATTTAAAGTAGGGTCAATGTTTTCTGAACTCTGAGTGCAATACATGAGACTAACATTAATGGTTTAGGTACTTGGCACGATAGTATTAACATCACGAAAATAATACACCCTTACCGCTGTCAGCCATACCTAACTATGGCGTAGACGTCGTCTTGAAGGTGTAAGAACGTGAGGGCGAGTAAGAGTGATAGAACGGCAATAGTAGCTGGGCAGCTGATGCGTGAGGGCACGAGCTAGCCACTCTTGACTGCAAGCCACACATAAGTAGTCCTCCCGTAAGGAGGACTTCATCAATACATCCATCTCTACAACACTACATTGACCCCATAGTGCACCATATCAGCAGCGCTATAGTGACTATATCTCAGTTCCCTCGCTGAGACGGCTAAACATAGCCGTAATCCCACGCCAGCGGGTTTCCCGAATAGGCACCTGGTAAACTCCCACAGAATGCCCCTGCAGGGTTCTGACAGAAGGCGGTTTTGGACCATCTGTTGATGGTTTGCCTATGCTTGGTACACTATAATGTTTCAAAGTCCAAATGGAGAATGAACCCCGAACGCAAATCAAAATTCATCGTCGAGTCAAACATACTGAGCGGAATTTCCCAAGCGAAGATGGGGTGAAGGTTGTGCAGATTGGGCTGTCATGCAAACGCAAGCATCACTTTCGTGATGAGGTCAACAGGCAACCCAACAACATACGATGAACGGATATGCAAACAGCCAGTCGCTTGAATCCATGTCCACCAGGCGAGAGGCTTGTTTAAACCTAGTCACACAAGAGTACTGATGACGTTGAGCCTCGTTGACTATGTAACGTTGTGAGGAGGTTGGGCTCGAACGGAGAAACGGAAGTTTCCTTTGGTTTCCACACCTTTATAGGAATAAATTTAATCCTGCTTTGGTGTATGTTGCTGCATCTTCATATCGATGACCCCAAGGATGAGCGATATCACTTCGGGCTGAAGGAAAGCACTAAGGACGATGTGATTACTAAGAATCAAGTAAGCATCGGGTTGAAGTGTTATTTTGTTGAAACTTACCGCATAAGACAAGCTGTCCGTCATGTAGCTCACAAGCAGTTTGGATTTCGAATGTAGCAAGTTGTTGTTGTTGTTGTTGTTGTCGTCGTCGTCGTCGTCGTCGTTGTTGTTTGACGGATCGCATAGATAGCCATACTTGAAACGCCCGTTTCTGGGTACTTTAATTGAACGAATAATTCCTGCTACGATTGAAAAAGACGAATGATAGCTATGATATCCAATACTTCGGCCAGACAACTAGCGTTCGTCTTCCCAAGAATCCCGCAAATCTTCCCTATGGTAGGTAGGATCTCCGGGTTTCTGCAAACACCCTGACTATGGACGATATAAAATGACAAGACCGCCAGGGAGACAAGAACAACCTCGATTGTTTCTCTACCCATAGTTAGCAATCTGTATAGTTTCTGTAAGGGAGACCACAGAGTATCTGGACTCACTGGTCGAGAATTGATTCCCGGTCGCAAGATGAAATGACGGTAATTGCTGAATAGACACACTCTTGAAGTGGTTGGTCTGGATCCCTGAGCATCGATTCTCCCTTGGATAAGGCATCGATCTGTAAATCAATCCAAGGACAGAAGATGAAAAGGCGGAGTCGGTGGTAATGAAACATCACGAGTTGCCGCAACCTCTTGCTTGGCACGTTCATGTCATTTCCGCGTTCGGAATTTTGGGGTGCGAATCCCAGAAACCAGTTGTCAAGCAGGCCACGACATTCTGTAAATGTCGCATCTTTCAACTTCGTTCGGCATGACAGAGCGGACAGGCCGTACAGCTTGTTGAAAATAGCTAGCTGAAGAGCCGCTGCGGAGCATTTGACGTAAAGAAAATCGGAGCTGTTGTTCTGACCAGGCCAATCGAACCATCCATGACTGCATAGCTAAACCATAGATTCCTCGTCGTTAGCGATTGAGTTGTTATCAATGAGTCATTAAGCTTACCGGTGGCATTCCTTGACGGAGCGATTCATCAATTTCCATTGTATAGAGGAACCAAATACACACTTTTGCTTGGTGACGGCCTTCTTCTGTTGGATGCTTAAGCTCAACATCACGAACGCAAAACAGTCTCATCCGGCGAACAGTGTAAATCGCGGTAGTCAAAACCTCCGATGCCATGCTCACAGCAAATTTCCGTGTGATGACCGCCTGTATCTCGAAATGAGTTTCCCGAAGAACCAGGATTTGTTGGATACAATTACCATGAGTGTTAATGTCTAATTTGCATTAGCTTTCCAACTTCTTTCTAGGTATCGAACTGCGGATTATCACCTGTAACATGAGAAGATCACACGGTTCCCTCTGGACAAGTGAGAGATAATGGCGTAAACATTCTTCTAAAGAATGATTTTCTTTGTCGTGGGAGGTCGCGGAAATCTCGGAGCAACTGCATAAGATTTTACCTTCATGTATTATTCCAAGTAATACGGCAAAAACCCAAAGAGCCCCATGTGTCGAACCTTGGTTTCGCTTCCTTAAGCTTGAAAGAAAGCTCTTAGTGAGAAACAGTGATAACCTGATTATCATCTTAGTTGCTATAGCAGCGAACAGTTCCACCGACACTTACTCAGTACAATTTCTGAAACATTCTGCATGCCATTAGATGTGAACATCAACCGAGCCACAGTGAACTACATACCGTCAATAAATTCTTCAGAGAGGTTTTCAATATTCCCCAAGTCAGCAGTGTCCCCCAATTTAACTGCACTGATACCACTAGTACCAGATGCATGGGAGACAGCCTTCTCAAATAAAGCTTCAATCTTGGCACCCGAAGACGGTTCGAGTGATTGACAGATCTTTTTTGGGATGCCAAATAAAGCTGAGACTGAAAAGCTGATATCAACAGCGGCTTTTGGCAACTCATCATTTTGAGTGGGGGGTTTCGCAATCTGGGCCGTCTCGAATGGAATTGGCAGCTACAATGGTAAGCCTCAATCATGTGACATCTTTCAGAGGAAACCTACGCCACTAGATACGATGCCTAGCTCGCCATTGGCTTGTGGTGCCTGGTCGTGAACCTCCAATGCTGACAATCTTTCCGTAAAGTTCATACGCCTCGGTGTGCTCCAGGCCACCCTCGATGGCGATGAATCGCTCAACAAAGATATTTGATCTTCCCAGGTTTCTTCAGTCACGTTGAGTGTGCCTAGATCTGAGTTGATAGTAGTGTCAGAAAGGCCCTGGAATGTGTTCTGCGTCCAAGCTGGCTGCCAATCTGAAGGTAGACTGAATGTCCCAGCAGCAGTAGATTGTGGCTGGTTGAAATGCACGCTATCCAGGCTAAAGTTGTCAGGCAATGAGCCACCAATGGGAGTTGACAAGTGCATAGAGGCGCCTTCGAGCGTAAAAGGCACTTGGGTCTGTTCATTTCCGTCCCAGGACTGTGAGGACGGCGCAGCTGAAGAAGTATAACGACAATCCTCGTCTCTAGACTTTGAAAGTTTGAGCAAACCTTACTAAACGTCGTCAAGTGTAAAACTTACATGGCAGGCTGCACATGGCTGTCCACCACTACCTGTTTAGTCGTATAGTTAGACCTAGATCGATAGTACTACTTATGTACAGACTTCAAACATACATCGTACTTTTCGAAGACGGCAATTCTCGCATGCCCCTCTTCGACGTTTGACCTTTTTTTTCAAGGTGTTTCCATCCTGTGTATCCCTTGCGGCTGAGTCACCATAAGGAAACATATTGTGTTGCAGATACACCGTTCGACATTGTTGGCGGAATGCGAAGACTATAGTCTTTCATTTTTATATACTTATTCCTCTCTCTGTTTAGAGCAGATTGATCAGGCGACAATTTTCTTTAGGTAACTCGGCACGGTTTTAAAGTTTTGTCAATTATGCCGGTACTTGTCACGGCCCACACACCCTGTGAATGGGACTCATCCATATATGGGGGTATATTAAGATCCATCTTCCGCGGAATCGGGGATATGTCTAAACAGTTCTAGTAGCCATCTAACAATGGGGCAGGGGACATTTTAGTCAGCTACAGCTAGGTGATGGCGTCGCGTCATTACATTAGACGCCATACATGGGCTGTTTAAAGTTAAATTATACAAGCGATGGTGGTCGGACAAAGATTTATACAAGGGCTCATATGAAAACCCCTGAAGCGAGCTGCGGATAGTCCAATCAGTATGCATAATTGGGTCCATCCGGCAGCCCGGAATTAGCGAGATAGTGCATCGCGGTTCACTAGCTCAAGAACTTGCATTGCAGATGCTGGCGCTCTCGCAAGCTCGGGTACCTACTAATTAGTGTGCAATCTGTGGCGTCTTATACTAGGGGATATCCAAGATTTAGAGTTCCTAGTGTGGCCGGGGGTTATTTATAACGCTAAAACCAAATGCATAATAAGGTAGGTAGGAACTCGTTGTGTATAAATTATAATGGCCATCGATGTGCCCACTTGGCCACTAGCTATTATTTTAAACTCTTTTTTAAAAAAGCGTTTATAGCTCTAAATATTAAACTTGAGTTGCTGCTCTTCTTAGGGTGATTGCAAGCATGCATGAATGCCCACGGCGGAACGGCCCGACAGGCCGGCTAAGGTCTTAGGAAAACACGGACTTACATCCTTATAAGTGTTAGCAGTGGATTCCACTCTATGGTGGAGGGACGAGCTGGCCTAAATAAAGCCGAGATTTACGATACACTTTAAATTAAATAAGACGATATTTATTTCCAAGGGTTTTTATCGCTATAATATAAATAACGTTATAAAATAAATGGAGCTTTTAGTGGAGCGCTAGAATTTTTAAGCTTTAATTTGCTAATTAGCCACTTATTAGCTAAAGGTTTAAAAAAAGGAGGCCTTTTATAAGCTTTAAAAATTACGATACATTTTATAAAATACGGGTGCTAACATTTATTATATAACGATATTTATAAAAATCCGGCTAATTCTAACGATTATTATTATACGTTATATATAAAGGTAAATATCGTTAACTCTTTAATAAATTTTCGTTAATAAGCGATCGGATCGCTGTAAAATAATATCGTTAGCACATTAAAATCGTTTTATCGAATTTTAAATATACGCGTATTTAATTATTATTAATTAATTGCTTTAAAACCCGTTAAACGAGGTTTACCATATATTTGCTAAAGGCACGTAAATCCGAGGGATGTTTATATATAAATTTAAAAGGCAAACGGGGATAATAATTAAAATAAGCTTACGATTTTAAAAAGATTAAAAAAGAAAACGAGATTTCCTTAGATAATAAATATATTATAAATTCGTAAATAATCCGTCACTATTTTATTTAAAACATTTAAAACATTTATAAACGCGTCGCTAAATCCGAGCGCTATTAAAGCCTTATAAAGCTTTATCGCGGGGTGTTTTCCTTTCGCTTATTTATTTAGGGAATCCCGGTTGCGTGGGGCTACGGCGATGTATAATGGTAACTATAGCACTTTCCTATAATTAAGATTTGTCAGGCTTTTGCTTTTTATACCTTATCCATTTACGGTTGTCATTTCATTACTTTTGCTCGCTTTTACCTTTTTGTAATCTTAGCTTATGTCGAATTCGCCTGCGTTTAGCTTTCCTTAGAGACCCTTAAATTATTATGATTTATTCCCGTGGTAATAATATCATATTACATTATTCCTTATTTAAAATTATAGGCCTATTTAAGGAAATTATTATAGCTATTATAAATGTGCAATTTTTAAAAAGATCTGCTCTTTTAATTACTCTAAAGGACGGTTTCGTGGGGGTTATTTATAGATTTAAATGTAGCGACATGTGTTTCAAACACGCTCTCACTAAGGACCACGAGCATTGGCTATATAAAGATCCCTGCGGACTTATGAGAATGCCTGGAATTACCCATTATCTTGCAAAGCTTACCCATGGGGGACAAAGCCTTTAGCATAATCCCTCCGAATCGAGAAGATACTAGAACTAGCAGACTGTCCACGGTAAATCTACATGATCATGCCAGCCCACAGCATGGTTAGCAACGAAAAGCATCCACGGAGATAATGGACAGGCCACAGCTTGGATTTCTGCCTCCGCAAATCAGGGTAGTACTTTCACCAGCTGCCGCTGCATCACCTCCCAAGAGGTGTTTATTTATATGCAAGCAGTATACCTAGTATAAGGATTCGTCTCAGGTATGAGTAACCATTTTGCCTAGTATAATACGTAAGGGCGTGATTCTCTCACCGGCTTATTTTAAGTTGCCTTCTTATTTCAGTACATTGACCACGCATAAAAACAGTGGAGAAGGTCGATGTACTGCACAATTGACCTTTACCCCA